GATAGATAGATAGATAGATAGATAGATAGATAGATAGATAGATAGATAGATAGATAGATAGATAGATAGATAAACTGCTATTGAAGTTGTGATATAGTATAAAGTAATGGCACAGAACCTATTCCCCTCTAGATATTGGCCAGAATCCTACTGATCTATGCATAAGATTTGCATAACTTGCCGTAGCTAATTTATGAGGTGTCAGGACATGACTCAATTTCAGATCTGATCACACACCTGGCACCTCATAAATTAGCTGCAATTAGCTACAGCAATTGAAACCTTATGCAAGCAGCAGTAGGATTCTGGCCATTGTAGGATTATGCCATCCATCAGCCACAACCAGCATGACAAATGGGATAACAGGAGCAGCAATCCAAAATCAAAGACAGCCATGAATTTCCCATACCTGTTGTGATTATTGCCCCAGGTCACTCCTGTCATTCATAGTCTATTGCATGAGCCTATGAGAGGATTGGAGGTGCGGAGTCAGCAAATATATAAAGGTTTGGCAGGAAGAGATAGAAGAGAAAGATAAGAAAGAGAGAATTTGCAGAGAGATAGAGAGTGAGAGAAGAGAGAAAAGGAACAGATACTAATAGAGATAAGCTGATCAAGATAGATAGGGCAGGTGGTGATTGGTTATGTGGCAAGATAGATGGTATTTTAATGATTTGATTGTGTACACTGAATAGCTGAAGAACATCTGTGATTACGATTAAATTTGATACACTTCAATAAATAAATTCTGGTGGCAGTTATCAGACAAGTGTTTGACTAAAGTCTTTTATATTGTGGATAAAGGAAATCCACTGGTGGCAGTGAGGGAAAGAGAAGACTGAACCCTTTGTGAAGACACAACACAAAGCTGCATCAAAGGAGCTAACGTTACAATTGGTGTCAGCTAGTGGGATGACATAACGTGAGCTCTTTGTTTGGTGAAACAAGCAGGGGCCACGTGGTAAACGTCACACCTGTCATCAGGAGTTTTGAAAGATACTACCAGCCAGATTATAGCTTTTTCCATTTGTATTGTTTTTAATGTATTCTGTTCCAAAACTAAGTCATGGGGCAGCCACACAGAGGAGGCGGCATTCCATAAGATATTAAGGTCTCAAGCCAATAGAGCTCTACAAGTAAACAACAGTAATTTGAACTTAGCCCAGAAACCAGAAGTGAGAAAGAATTGCTGCAGCATTATGTAATATGTTCACAAAACCTAGTCACAGTTCAAAGTGTCTCAGCCACACTTTGTGCTAGCTGGAATTTCCATACAATCTTCAGTCAGCTCCTCCCTATGTACACCGTATTTAGTCATCCAAATAGGAGGCTACCAAATTGTGAATCCCTGCACATTATTCTTCTCCTGACAAAGACATGGGTCATAGCTGGCAAGCAGCCACATCTAATAAAAGGATCTTTACACTACAGAAGCTACCTGAGCCTCTAAAGGCAATTATTGTCATTCTCCAAACCATGGAGAACAAACCAGTTTTTTTCCTTTTGATTACTGGAACCTTACCTTGTCGATGTCAGTTAATTCACTCCTGACTTTACCCACTGACCAAATTATTTTAAAATCAAAGTCAGTTGCAACATACTAACCAGCTTCATACTAAGTCGGACCACTAACCTATGTACCAGTAAGTAGTACCTCAAATATCATAGGTGGTAAACTGGAGTGGGCAATTGTGGCCCTCCTAGTATTCTTGGATTACAATTCCATTATGCCTCATCACTGAGTATCCAACAAAAGCTGTTGAGAGGTGCATGTGCTGCCCACCCCTGCTGTAAATCATGGACAATGAGGAACAAATCCTCATTGTCAAATTCAAAACCTGTTTTCATTAACAGTTCTAGGGTAAGAGAAGGAATGTTTACGCTTTCTGTTTTAAGTGAATTAATTCAGTCTTAAATTATGATATACACTACTCAATAATTCATTCCATTATTTTTGAAAATAAACTTGGAATGCCTTAAAATGCTGAAAATATTTCATGAACCTGTAATTTGCCTCCCCCATTTCTCTTTCATGTTCAAATAACGACTGGTAGGTGGTGTATCTATCTACATTGACTAGAAATAAGTCTCACAGAGCTCTGTGGACTTAATTTCTGAGTAAATGTGCATATGATTTAGTTAACATAAGGCAAGATTCTTCCCTTTAACTCCTTTTGAGACCTATATTAATGGGTATGATATGGCACGAGGAGCTTTTTCCTCCCTCTGCAATATGCATGTTGAAAGACAGCTTAATAGGCTTTTATTGCAATGTTTGGTTGAATTTTTGAATTACACACTTTGATGAAATGCACTAATGAAAGCCCCACTCCTTTTCCTTGTTCTAACTAGGATTACAGGGGTTATTTATTCAGTTGCAATATCCTTGATTTTTTAAAAAAGAATAAAGGATAGTAGTAGATTTTTCCCCATCCTAGAAAATTTGAACACGAGCAGGCGGAGAATCCCACTACTAATGTCTAGGGACTTCTCCATCTGCAGCTTGTCTCCTCAACTGATGAGTTGCATGTGGAGCTAAGGTTTCAGAGAGGGGCATCCTGTGGGCCAAGTCTTCTGTGGGAAACATTAGACCAATGAGACTGAGTTCCCTCCTCTCTTTCCAGTTCTGTTTGCTGAGTCATAAAATATGAATTGTGTTTCTTGTTTTCCTTTACCTGTTAGTCTTAACTACAGCAACAGTTATGTCATTATTTGGGAGAATGGGGGATTAGCCATTTTCGGCCAGAGAGACAGTTGCACCCAGCTCCAGCATCCTATCATTTTATACCTTATCACTTGATAACAAACTATTAATTTGGGGAAATAAATCACAATTTTGACTGCTTATGGAGCAATCCAGAGCAATCTATTTCCCAGCAATCACATAATATATGGAGAAATGTATTCCAGTTCAACCCTGATCCATGTGCAAGTTGGATCATTTTGTTCAGCTGTACGGCTCCTACGTTTTGGGGCCAGGCTGGAGTGATTCCCTAGCAGGCAGAAGGGTTGCTTTAAGGGAGATTGCTCCCATTAAAGTGAATTTTTCCAGTGAAATTAGGTATGTACCTTTGCAGCTGTCAGATCACAGTTTACATTGACACTGGGTGGTAAAACAATTCTGTCTGT